GAAGGAATAGTCAAGCTCACAGACATGATCAGTGTGAGTGAGATCTTCTCTCCCTGCAGCAGTATCCAGTATTCGAACGGCCGGAGCGCACATTTTATCCATTTCATGGATACCGATAGTAACAAGTCTTAGGAATCTCCATACATTCGCTAAAAAAGACAGTATTTTGGAATACTCTAAAAGATTGACTGACGTGACCCGTTGCACTTGGCACAAGCATTAGCAAGATATCAATATTTCAGAATGATCTGGACAATCTAGAGCGTAAACTAGATGACGCAATAAGGCTTACAAACATTCGTTACTCACACAACCCTATGCTGGGTTTAGCTGTATCATTTACTTTGTTTAACCAAGCGTGAAACCGCAAAAAATAAGTTCCTTTTTAGCCGGTTCTATATCCTCTGATTCCCCGGTTTTGATTTAATATCCCTAGATATACTACTATAACCACCCTTTGAATATCGAACATGAACAATCGACCAAGCTCATTTTCACTGTACACTACTTTAATTTTGATGATTCATTCATTGACTAACTGATGCGTAAAGGTTTTTTCACTTCCGTGAAAGGATATTACCAAAATTCTGCTCATCACACAAATGAATGCGTATGGATTGCTAAGAGGAGCGCGCGCGCGCGCGAGAGAGAGAGAGGAGTGCAATTGTGTAGACCCCCGATACCTACGGAGAACCGAGTGTTTTTACGGAGAGACCCCCAAAGACTCCCGGGATATAACATACTACATGGTAGCCCGCATCGATTCGTTTCCGTATATGAGGATCCTAACCTAAGCCTTTGACTTTGGGGCAGTAAATGATTGATTCAAGACGAGAAGATTCCACGGACCTCCGTAAATTACGGTAACCCAGGCATGAATAGCCTTCTTCAAAGTGTGATGCTTGCCGAGGCAATGAGTTAATTGGTGGAAGATGGGGTGGGGATGGGGTGGTGTGGGGGTGGTGTGAAATGACCTTGATGACAAGTCTCGGTCCAGTAGATTACATCAGACTTTCTGATTGGGACAAGGTAAGTTTCATGACTGAGATTGATAAACAGCTGCGTTCATGCATCTGCTCAATTTCTACAGCTATTTGAGATTTTTGGCTGTCTTCCCGCCGCATTGGTCAATCAAACGGTAGACAAAGGTGGGCGACCAAAATTTTGACACCGCAGCGCAAATTCAGGTGACACACGTTCCCCTACCAACCAACAAGTGGCTGACAAGAAGAGTCCAGTTATTTGATCAGTTAACAGCCGAAACTGCAGTTTTTATAAAGCTGATTGTTTTTTTAATATTCGTCATGTGACTTTAATTGAAAATATTTTATCATGCTTTGTTTCATTTCAAAACCGTATCTCATTGGATGCTATTACACATCAACGATGACCGTCTCATCGGGGAACGGGTGGACAGTTACGTCACGAAAGATCAGGTATAAGCAATCACTAGGTCTTAGTTTCTAACACGCCAATAAGTCGATCGTGATGATTCATTTAGTATAATCTATTTGATTACTAGCATAGTACGGTTTGGAGGCGAAGGGGTGTGTGTGTGGCGACAGCGGTCAGCACATGGAGTTCTACCCTGTGCCAACAAAATGAAATTTATGTTGAGTTGGCTTTACTCTGGTAATATATCACCCTACGCCTTATTATGACTCAGTGCACGCTTTATTTATCGATCCTTTTTCTCCAATGAGCACTGTTTGAAGTGCTTGAACTAACTTTAGGTATATATCATGCAATTTTGGATTTATTATATCCTTTGTTAAACTCTCCATCTAAAATCAGAAGAGTTTTGTTTAGGTTCGCCGTCTGAAGTGCCTGTTTACCCGCCTGCCATCCCCCCCCCACTTCCTTTGATTCAGCAGTTTATGCATGCCCGATTCATCCCACACTGGTTTTTATGGTACCACAGTGATCTTTCATGGTTTATAACAAAACTATACCTCTCTTCAGTCCTGCTCACTCGGTGATTTATTCACGTTTTGCCGTTCACTCACCGAGCTCGTATCATCCACTCTACTTAAATCCTCGCGCACCAGTGGCCTAGTGGTAATGCCACCAGATTATCGACCCGGCGGACGTGTGTTTGAATCCTTTTAGGGCATAGCACACAGACCCTGTCAGGCCGCGCGTGGATTCGCTTAATACCACGAGGGCGGTCCCCGACGCCCAAGCCGAATCGATTCCGGATTGGATGACTAAGGCGAATCAGTCAGCTGTTGTCCGATGGACCAATCGGAATATCAAGGGTGCGATCTGATTGGTGCGTCGTTCTGGTACGCCCAATTGCCCACTTGCGTGTCACGTCCCGTTCAATACAATGCACACTGACTATTGTTCTTCAGTCGTGTCCTCTCTCTCTTTCAGTATCGCTATTCGGGGCTAGGCAAGAGGTGCTGGCGGCGATCGCACGTCTAATTAAGAACATAACAACTCCCATCACCACCACATGCATTCTCCCATACGGTGTTGAATGGCAGTCCTTCGAGTGACCACTTCCTCTTTTCCGAAAATCATATCATTATTTAATCAATAAAGAGATGCGTAAATGAAAGTAAAGCAGAAAATAAAACCTATATGTATGATATTCACAAGGTGTGCTTGATCCCACTGGGTCTTTGCTCACCGAACTTCCTTTCAGTACAACTTTGCCCTCGTGAACGTAAACATACAGATCCTTGAAAGTTTTTTTCTACATGACCCTTTATTGTATTGCTTTACTCAAAACCCTGTTAGCCATGAGCGGGACTGAATTAGACTGGAACTGAAAACAAGCACATAAATTATTGATCAATATCCGCACGAGCGAGTTACGATCACATTACGCGAATGGCGTGATTCTCTTGTCGCCGCAACTGTCTGTCGCCCCTTTGTGAATTCCCATGTTACCCGCACGTGCATTCTGTCTGGTAGATCCAGGCCGTTTCTGTGCTGTGTCAAAACCAAACTCCTACTATCCCTGAGTTGTCGTTCGCATTTCACAGATCTGGAGAATAGAGAACTGGTATATGCGGCCATATTGCCTAAAGATTACCATGAATGAGCCGATAGTGGAGTGGCATCTCAACTATTAGGTTTTCTAAAAATGACCGATTTTTAGAGGTATTTTAGAAATATTGATGTCGAATTCAACTGAATTGGAACAGATTTAGCTTTTGGCTGATTCTGAGTGACTTTGTCCGGCAGGTATAAATACCGCAACCTAATGGCGACGATCACTTCCACGCTCATACCAACCATGGCTCATGTTGACAATACGGTCGTTTTTGAACGAGTGGTAAAAAGTTGCTATGGATCGCTGAAAGGATTCTTGGCGGACTTCCGCGAATTCCATAGGGTTACCTGCACTTCCTTCTACGTTTATGGATCAATGACAGCCGAACAACTGATACGGGAGAGAAAGTTTGGTCGGAAACNCGGAAACTGACCCTGCCTGAGGGTTTTCCGTATTATTTCATCAAATATTGCTGTGTAAATCACAGAAGGCGCAGCGCAACTGCAATAAGGTAATTATGGCTCTCATTTCTAATCTATTTAATCCGTTTTAGGCTGCAAAATATCGATTGTCCGGCATTCGTTGGAATTCGCGCGGTCGGGAGGGGGTATCGAGTGAGGAAACTTCTGGTACACAATCATGACTTCCATGTGGGTCAGCGGGGTTTGTATATAAGTAATCGTCGTCTGTCTGGAGAACAGGAAGAGGAAGTGTGTACTTTGATGGACACTTTTAAAAGTACTCTCGAGCTAAGGGATTTCGCCACACACAGGTTCAAGAGACCCTGAACTACGACGGATATATTAGGTCCATACGTCGAAGAAGATCTCATTCAGATTCACGTGATGATGTGGTTAAAGTTCGGGATATGCTGGAGAATCAGGGAGAGGTCAGGATAGGGCTGAACGGAGGCGTCGGGCGTCACATTAATTTTGTCCTTATATTATGCTGCACTACGTCGCCAGGTTAAATGATGTTTTGTTAGCGGACGCCACGCACTAGCTAAACTGTGGCGGGTACGTGCTTAGGCATGCCATACTTG